GTTTATGGTAAGTTTTTCCTCATAAAACTATACTGTATCTTGATGTGTGTTTGTTTTTCAATATCATTAGCATCGCAAGATTTGTTTAGTTTACACGTCCGTAATGCACACCCGCCTTCAGAGTCAAGAACCAMTCAAATTTTGTGAAGACAAGCGATCTGAGAGCGCGATTCGCAACGCTGCAATCGCTATCGCGTCCCGTGTGTCGAGCCCTTTACACTTAAGTCTGAGAGTAGGAGCAAATCTAAGAAATTTTCAGCACTTAAGTCTAAAAATCCACTCTAAGAAGTTTTATAAATACAGAACCAGGTCTAAACTCTTGATTTTTAGCACAACTGTTGATTAAAATGCATCTTATCTAAAAACAGAAATATTCACAGGATCCCAGTCTATTCAGCAGTTTAGTGTTTTTTGTTGTGAACAGTTGAAGTTTGCAGCTTTAGTTTAATAAGATTTGATTACATTTTTACTGCTTTAAACTCAGTAACAAGATTCAGAATGTAATCATCCTCTAATTGTAATGGTATCGAATTAAAGCCTAAATGATCTGAAAGCTAATTGATTTTGAGTTTATTAAATAAACTGTCATTAAGGTGTTTTCAGAAACGCTGAAGATGCTTTAAAATCCTTGACCCTGTTAGATTTCCACACATTAAAACCTCTTTATTTTCTCACTTTAATCTCTTTCCTGCAGATCGTTTTTATTACCGAAGATGTGTCTGAAGCTCAGGACAGTCCTAAAACTTTCACACTCCAATTTTTTTTAATAGAGTTTTTAACGAGCGAACTGTTTTTTTTTTTCTGATGTACTTGAATTTATGGTGCCCAAACTTACAAAGAAAAGAGTGACGATCAGTGTCTCCATGTTCTGTTTTTAAAGTGAAAGTTTAACCTTTAAAGGTTTGGAAAGTTTGTGTGATTCCCGGCAGAGAGCAGGCTGGAAGCTCAGCCTCCTGCTAAGGTTTAAGGAATCAAACGTACGGCTGCAGAGTGAAGCGGAGCGCTCCGTCGCGGCTCTTTCAGGCAGACGGCAGCCTGCGGTGCGCTCGCTGCAGGAGGCGGTGCTCCGGTCCACACACTGACTGAATATCGTTATTAAAACTCTAAACTTGTCATGCTGTTCCCGGCAGATAACAAGCTGCTGGTTTCTAAATGAAACGGAGGTGTCGCCATCATGGAGGACGATTCTGTCCTGAACTAAAATAAAAAAAAGTCCTCCCAGTGAGAGGAAGACATTCTGAAAGTTCCTGTTCTGCATTTTCTGATAATGATCCTGAGACCTGACAGAGGATCATGAGTTCTGTCCTAAAGTTCAGGAAATTTACTGTCTGTCTGTCCGTCCGTCCGTCCGTCTGTCTGTCTGTACACACAAACAGACACTTAGCTACCTACCTCCCTCCCTCCCTCCCTACCTCCCTCTGTATATATAAATCTACCTCTCTATAATAAAAGAAATAAATGTCTTTTTCAGACTCTTGCAGATTCATAAAGTCCAGACTCTGCTGCGGGATGTTTTTTAACTCATAAAATTATAATTAGTTATTTCCTGCTCATAAATAAGACTCCATGATTGTTGGGGGTTTAAAACCCCACATCTCTACTGATCCAAACCTCCAACATGCAGCTTCTGTAAAACTCTTTCAGTTCAGTGGAACTTGTTGAATAAATATGTTTTGTAACACACAGCTAACAGTTGGGTTATCTAAGTGTTAAAATGATTTCACACAGCAGTGTATTTTTGTGAGCAGTGGTATGAAATTCTCATCAGGATCTTTGTTCGTCTCTCTTCAGGACCTTTTGTGGAGCGAGCGACCCTCTCCAGTGAAACCAGCGAGGACCTCTGCTTCAACAGCCAGGATGTTTTACCAAAAACTGAGGAATGAGTTGTTTCCCAGACTGTATGTAATCACTGTAACCAATAAAGTTTTTGTTCTTACGCCTGAGAAGAACTCGACTTTGAACTAAACACGAGGAGAGTGTATATGTGGGTTCCTTTCTGCATGTTCTCCCTCCAAACTGCTGCACTTCACTTGTTTTTCATTTTAGTGGAACAACAAAAGAGGGAAAAAATAGCTTGTATCTAACAGAGATGTTCTTTAAAAGGATCAGAACAATTAAATATTATCTGGTGAGCCGTTGAGTTAGTTTAAATAAAATTATCACTATTTAAAGTGATGCACATTTTCTGTTTTTGGTGCCTCTTCTGGTGTAATACAGTCATATGAACAGTAGGGGGCAGTGTTTACACAACATGAACTGCTCACAACTTGCTGCATCTTAAACTGATGGAGAAGTTTGGTTCATTTTACTTAAATTCTAAGATAAACATGCATAAAAACATGATTTTTAACCCCCAACAAATACAACTTTTATTAAAAGGGCTAAATAATGCTGGTAAATATCTGTTTATCTTTGCTTTTCTACTATAAATCAACTATTTCCAACTGTCTTTTCTTCTAAATAGACTTTTTTAAACTTATTTGTGTTAAGAATTAATTAACAGACTTGTAATTAATCCCTTGTGTTTATTCTGTATCTGAAATATATGTGCTGTTAAAAATCCTCTTCTTCTGAAACGTTAAACTCAAAGTTAAACAGGACCTTGATGTCCCGGAGCGACCACAGTCCAGGTCTCAAATAACTGCCGCCGTTCACAACACTCGTCCCCTGACGCCCCTCAGGTTACAGTAAAACTGAGATAAGGTGGAGGTTTTTATTATTCCCCGTGGGGAAATCTGGTAGCAGCAGCTAATGCTAATAGGATTTGATGGCAGTGAAAGCTGTGGAAACAGTAAAACTGATGAAAGAGCCTTTAATGAGTTTCCTCACCGACGAGGAGGAGGAGGGCTTCTTAATGTTTTCAGCTGAGTTTTTAAGAAAGAAGTGGTTTTAAAAGTCACTTTTATATATTTAATTTGCATAAAACGGATCTCTATTGCTTCAAAATGTCAACAAACGTCACAACATCTGATCGTTTTTGTTAACTTTACAAAAATACTTGAATTGACGGTCAGTTTGAGTTTAAATGTTTGAGTTTAAACTTTGATAACTTTCTGAGATGATTAAAATCCGTCCGGTGGTTCAGGAGATATTTTAAAGAGAGAAAAGTTCTCCGTCAGACTAAAACTTGTGTTTTTCTTGTTTTATTTCATCACAGACAGTTTTTCTGATGAATAACATGTACTAAGAGTTAAAAAAAAAGAAAACTTCATGATAAATAAATATTTCCCGGTGTTGCGTAAGTTGGACCGAACAATTAAAGGTGTCGTTCCTCTTCACCTCCTCGTCTGATGAGCAGCTCAACCCTTCAATCCCACTGATTAAAAGATGATTCGGCTCTTACATCAGCTATAAAAATCATCCAGTTAGCTGTTTTCAAGCTTTATTTTTCACACAGTAAAGGTCACAAGTTTCCTGCCTCTCACTGCTGGTTGTAAACAGCTGCAGAGTTTCAGACATTCAGCAGCAGACAGGAAGCTCGGTAAAGGAAAAACTAACCCTGTTTGTTTTTTTTTTTTTTCTGTCAGAGGACAAAAAGGGCCAAGTTCAGATCAGGTTACCGCCACACGACACCCAGGAATCTGAGTCCTGAACGCTTCCTGTGTCACGGTTGGCAGGAGGAGCTAAAAAAACAAAACTTTTATTTATTAATCAAAGAATAAAAAATGGCTGACGAGGCAGCAGAGCTCTGAAGTTGAGTCGGGGGGCACACAAGGACAAACCAAACTCGGCATCAGAACACTCAATGCTCAACTGATGAGCAGTGAGAAAGACGGGCGTTAAACAGACTGAGGCTGATGGGTTGAGTGGCAGCAGCTGTGACGAATGAAACCAGGCACAACCAGGGATGGTGAGCTGACTGAAGGAGCAAAACGTTCAGGAAGTAACCCTGGGCTCGACACACGGGAGGCGACATCGCTCGCTCTCCATTCATTTCCTATGGAGCCTGTGCGGTGAGGCGACAATCGCTCGCCCTCCTCCAGCCAAGCGACCGGCGAAAATAGTGCATGTGAAATTTCGTGCTCGTACACGTAGACGTGCACACACGAGCTTGCGACGTGACATATGAAAGTTGAAAAATGTTCAACTTTTGTCGCTTGGCGTACAACCAATCAGCGAGGGTTTCATTGACTGACCAATGAGAGGAGAGTATGCTACACACTGCAGTTAGCTAACACTTTCACCAAGTGATTACTAAAAAGCTTTGTGGGAATTTATTGGCACCAGGGTGAAGTTTATGGTTTTTCCTCATAAAACTGTATCTTGATGTGTGTTTGTTTTCAATATCATTAATTAGCATTGCAAGATTTGTTTAGTTTACACGTCCGTAATGCACACCCGCCTTCAGAGTCAAGAACCAATCAAATTTTGTGAAGACAAGCGATCTGAGAGCACGATTCGCAACGCTGCGATCGCTATCGCGTCCCGTGTGTCGGGTTTCACCCTGGCTACGATGACAGCCGTTAATCGCTGTAGTTTGTCGCTCCCCGTGTGTCGAGCCCTGACGTGCGTTTTTTAACTTTTAAAATTCAAGATGGCCGCCACAATCTTTTAAAAAGAGGTATAACTCAGTCATTTTTTGAAGATATGGAACTAAAAATTGGCAGCCGGTTCAAATGTTATCAGTCCATTAAATGGACGTTATCAGTCCCATAGAATGGCTTCAGACTGTCCCGACAGTGCCCCCTAGTGGGTTATCAGTGCCATATCTGTTGGAAGGCAACAATCTGATACCGGCTCCAATCTGCCAGAGTCCGGTGTACTTTATCGTAGCCCTGGTCATTTTCTCTAAAATTAACCTTAGTGGCTTTATGCCTCATATTAACCAGCTGACAGTCTGAAGCCTTTCTATGGGACTGAGAACCGCTAATAACGTCCATTTAATGGATGATAACATCCGAAGCCGGTGAATTTGGTCCGGTAGTAGCTGAGAGTCATTAACAACGTGACATCATCAAATCAAATATGTTACTTTATTTTGAAGGTTTGACCAAAATGGCTTTTCTCAAATTTAAAACGACGGAAAAAAAAGGCGAACAATATGCAATTTTAAGAGTTCCTCTTTTTTCAGATTATCTGTGTTCCCAAACAAACAGAAATGTTATGTTAAAGATAAAAAATTAAAAGAATAAAAAACAGCTATAAAATATTGATAGCAGCGGGTTTGAACTTGTTGACGTTTTTTTAAGAAAAAAAATTTAAATCTCTGCATTACTCATTTAAATAAACTTAATTTTCAGCTGTTAAAAAGACAGAAACACAAAAAAGTCACAAAATTCTCTTTAAATTCCTAAAAAAAAAAGTTTGCCAAACTGACCCTTTTCCGTCCATTTTTTGACCCGCTGTGGGACCCCCTCCCCTCTCTTTGAACCCTCACCATAATAAAGCTGCTATACAATAGGAGTGGGGCACAACGAGCCCATTCATTGAGCAGTAAAAGCTTTTATGTGACATAAAGGCAACAAAAAGTCCCATCAGTGAACCATAAAGTGACGCTAAAGTCGCAGAAAACATAAACCTGAAGGTGGAGGTCGTTTTAATCCAGCAGCGGGGATTATATGTGATGTTTAAATGAGATTAAACCACCACGGGGACTTTGTGGGGACCAGGAGGTGTTTTATCATTTTTATTTTCCTGCAGTAAATGGGATTAAAGTGATGTTTCCCTCGGATGATCTTACAGCAAAAACCTGCTGCGGAGCTGCGCCAATCCCCTAATCCCAGAGAGGAGTCCCCATCATGTCAGATTATGATGTTTGACAGGGGAGGAGGGAGGGGGGCACGGAGGTGGGACGTCCTCCAGGAGAGAAGGAGGACCAGAAGTGGTTCAGAACACCGCAGAAAGTCTCTGCGCTTCCCCCCGCAGTCCGTCATGCGTCTCGGTGTTTGAAGCGTCCCGGCTGCCGCTGGAGGACACCCAGCACCCCGGATTATTTCATTATCAGACTTTAATCCGCGACCCGCACAGCTGTGAGCAATCCGACATCAGAAGAGAGAGAGAGGGGGGTTGGAAAGACCTCTCCTGGAGACCGGATCGAGCCGCATTCCAGCCCCGGAGCGCAGCGCTCAGGACCCGGACCCGGCGCGCTCCCGTTCCCCCTCCTCTGCAAAACCCCCCCCAAAACCTGGATCTTGTTTCTGCTTTCAGGACACAAACGATGGCCACAGAGGATCGGATCAGTCTGAACTAGAACCACAAACCCAAACCCATTCTCTTGCCCGGACCTGGACCTGGACCTGGACCTACCATGACTGGATGGTGGATCTTAGTTGGCGCTGTGACCGGGATCCTCACCGCCCCCACCGGGACGCAGGGTGGGTATTTTTGGTCTCTTCTGAACCCTGTACCAGCTGGTTATGTAGGTCAGGATCTGTGGGTGCAGAACCAGAATCTGAGTCTGAAGGGGGGGGGGGGGGGGATGGATCCGTCTCACTGCGCAAAGACGAGCCTCTGAGAGGAAGTTGTGACTGGAATTATAACTTTTCCTCTTTCATTCATAAATCCTGTAAACCTGAGGGATCTCAGAGTCCTGAACCAGATTTAGTCTCGCTTATTGGTTTGTTTCAGAAATGCATCCAAAAAATGTATGAAAAATCTAATTTATTATCTTTAAATCAACCTAAAACCTGATGAGTTCAAGTCAAATCATCTGAGAATTATTAGAATATTAAAGATTAATTTGAGTAAAAGCAACTGGAGTTGTTTCATTTACTTAAATACAGTCAATAAAATGAAAATAAATGAAGTAATTAACCCGATCCACCTGCAAACAAGTTCAGAGTGAAACCTCCTGAGTCATTTTGACCCCAGAACAGCAGGAGAGGATTTACCATTTATTTTATTTTACGCTCTGAAACGTTCAATTTGAGACCAGTGGAAGCTCAGTTTTCACTTTCTTTGAGTCATTACAATAAAAATAAGGTAATTTTACAGAAACATTAACATATTTACTTGTTTTTATGGATCTATTAAACAGAACCTGGTATTTTTATTGTTATTTTTACAGCTTTGATGCATTATTTAAGTTGTTTTAAGTCATCAAAATAAAAAAAAAATCTCAGTTTATTCATGGAAGCTTTTCTGAAAACTGAAGTTCCGATAACTAAATTATTTTATTAATCTGAGCCAGTGGCGTCACTAGGCCCATTTTAGAGGGGCTGGAGCCCCCCCTAAAATATTTTGGTGTAAATTTTTTTTATTTAATTAATTAATTA